GGAAAGACCCCAAAAAGCCCCCCGGAGACTGGAAGGGAGCGGAACATCCCCAGGCGATCTAGATTCCACGGCAAACTACACCACCACCAAGAACCTCAATGGAATGGGAATGACCCCGGTACCCTTCCCAATACCTAGGAAGCAGTAGGCCTGTGGGAAGAATCCCAAAGGCCAAAAAGAGGAAGGGAATAAGGGAGGGATGGGGGTGAGGAGGAAAAGAAAAAGGGAGGATGGGATAGGGAAGGGGGGACTGGGGGGTAATTAGGTTTGGTTTGTGGAAGGAGACCAACAGGTTTAATTCCTAAGACCAAGAGCCTCTTCCCCATGCCAGGGAGCCCCCCCTTGAAGAGGAGTACCACTACAAGAATTGAGGTAATGATGTTTTTTGATAGTGACAGGAACAGTATTGATATGTGAAAGAGGAGAAAGATTATGAGTTTGGGTAGCATTTTGGACAGTGATGATGCACATACTGCTCTTGAGAGCATGAAAGGAAATATCTCTACCAACATGGCATACGAGCACTTTGCCAATACCATGCTCGGAAAGATAGGCAATAGAGGAAGTCGGTCACAAAGTATTTAGTCCATTGTGCATTCCAAAACTGAGCATGGAAAGGGAGTGCATGATGTGTTGGTCTTTTCTGAGAAAAGCGAGAAGGTGGCGAAGTATCATCAGGCAATTATTATTGGCGTTTAGGAGTGGGACCGGAGTTGGTCCGACGTGAGATGGGCTGGCAATTCAAACGCACCATACAGGGAGAGGCCAGAAGCATAGTCAAAGGAGAGCAGAGGTCAGACAAATTGAAGGAGTCAGTCGAAACCCTGGTACCTGAAGCGGGTGATGAAACAGCACCAGCAAGAGGTACAATGGCATCAGGACTGTCCGAAGAGTGGTCAAAAACGAAGCAGGGTCAGAACAAGGTGTGGTATCAAGAAGAGGCCCAGTGGTAGCAGGGTCATGGACTGGGTCCTTCATGGTTAGGTTACTTCTTTCTTTTTGTTTTTAAGAAAAAAAGAAAAATAAAAAAAGGGGGAATGAAGCGGCCAGAAATCTCCCTCTGTGCCCAAGAGGACCTCAGCACTGCAAGTAGTGCAGATGTGGCGTGAAACCTGTGGCATACCCTACCCTTCATGTCAGTAAACCAGCAATCCAGGATAGCAACCTCACATCCATTGAGCTACTTCGGTGGACAAAAGAGAGGGCAGCCAGATATCCACCACAAAGCATACCTCTTTTTCCACCACCCCAGGAATCTGAAAGGCAGCCTCCAGAGATACACCCATTGCCTGAAAGACACCCAAAGCCCCCCCCCCCCCCCCCGAGAAATCGGAGAGGGATCATGACATCCCCAGGTGATCCAGATTCCATGGCAAACTACACCACCACCAAGAACCTCAATGGAATGGGATAGACCCTGGTACCCTTCCCCCTACCTAGGAACTAGCATGCCTCTGGGAAGAATCCCAAAGTTCAAAAAGAGGAAGGGAATAAGGGAGGGATGGGGAGGAGGAGGAAAGGAAAAAGGGAGGATGGGATAGGGGAGGGGGGATTGGAGGGTAACTAGATTCGGTCTGAGGAAGGAGACCAGCAGGTCTAATTCCTCAAACAAAGAGCCTCTTCACCACGCCAAAGAGCCCCCCTTGAAGAGGTTGGGAGGCTGAAAATTTTCTCTGTTCATTAGTCACATATCCCAGCCCCTCATATTGTGCTTGCTTTCCATTTTGAATTTTCATTAACACAAAAAATAGAAGATTTACTGTAATGCAGACTACTGCATTATTGTAAAAATGGTAATAATATCAGTGCATTTGTGAAAGCCTTTCAAACTCACCAGTTGATGTGTATTAAACATGTGATGTGATTTGTATACTTTTAAACATCAGCAAAAATAAAACATTTCCTCTATTTCGAGCTCAGTTTCAAGGTACTTTTAGTCCATAAACTATTCAATATCAATTCAATTTTTGTAGTACATCTTCAAATGAGACAAAGAAAATGGGAATACAATCATAAATAAATTTGGTTTAAATTGACAACATCACTGTTAAAAAAAAAAAAAAAAAATCTCTCATTATGCACTGCATGCTGCAAGATTTTTGTTTATACTGCACACACTGACGACTCAGACACATTCTCTTCTAGTAGGCCTATCAGCTTTCTTCTGCAAGAATTTTGGTGTAGTATTACGGGAGCAACATTGGCTTGAAAGCCGTAATATTATGGGACCAACAGTGAAATGTTAGCGTTAGACAAATGACATCCCTTCTGGCAAAACTTTCTCTTTTGTATGACTTCTCATGTGACTTTTTAATTGAAATCTTTTAGAAAAGCTTTTCAGACATTCTGAACACTTATATGGCCTATCTTTAGTATGAGTTCTCATGTGATTTACTAAATTGGATTTTCTAGATAATTCTTTCAGACATTCTGAACACTGATATGGCTTCTCTCTAGTATGAATTCTCATGTGTTTTACTAAGCTTGTTTTTTGAGTAAAGACTTTCAGACATTCTGAACACTGATATGGCTTCTCTCCAGTATGAATTCTAATGTGACTTACTAAGCTTGATTTTTCAGTAAAGACTTTCAGACATTCAGAACACTGATATGGTTTCTCTCTAGTATGAGTTCTCATGTGTCTTACTAAATGTGATTTGCGAAGAAAGTGTTTCAAACATTCTGAACACTGAAATGGCTTCTCTCCAGTATGAGTTCTCATGTGAATTATCAATCCTGAATTTTTAGTAAAGCGTTTCAGACATTCTGAACACTGATATGGTTTCTCTCCAGTATGAGTCCTTATGTGGTTTTCTAAATAATCTTTGCAGGAAAAGTCTTTCAGACATTCTGAACACTGAAATGGCTTCTCTCCAGTATGAGTTCTCATGTGAATTATCAATCCTGAATTTTCAGAAAAGCATTTCTGACATTCTGAACACTTATATGGCTTCTCTCCAGTATGAGTTCTCATGTGTCTTACTAAATGTGAATTTACAGAAAAGTCTTTCAGACATTCTGAACACTGATATGGCTTCTCTCCAGTATGAACTCTCATGTGACTTACTAAGCTTGACATTTGAGTAAAGACTTTCAAACATTCTAAACACTGATATGGCTTCTCTCCGGTATGAGTCCTTATGTGGTTTACTAAATTACTTTTGCTGAAAAAGTTTTTTAGACATTCTGAACACTGATATGGCTTCTCCCCAGTATGAGTTCTCATGTGAATTATCAATCCTGAATTTTCAGGAAAGCATTTCTGACATTCTGAACACTGATATGGCTTCTCTCCAGTATGAGTTCTCATGTGTCTTATTAAATGTGAATTTTTTGAAAAGTCTTTCAGACATTCTGAACACTGATATGGCTTCTCTCCAGAATGAGTTCTCATGTGACTTACTAAGCTTGATTTATTAGAAAAGTGTTTCAGATATTCTGAACACTGATATGGCTTCTCTTCAGTGTGAGTTCTCATGTGAATGACTAAATTATATTTTTCAGAAAACTCTTTTAGACACACTGAACACTGAATTGTTTTTTTGCTTATGAAAAACCTGGTCTGATATCCACACTGAGACTGTTCTGAAGATTGTTTGAGTGAGTGTAAATGTTGATCTAATTGGTCTCCTGCATTAACAACTGTACATTGTGTTGCCTCAACACAACACCTGCAGTACTGACAATACAAGTACCACCTTCTTGTACCAGGATGACCTGCAGTACTGACACTACAAGTACCACCTTCTTGTACCAGGATGACCTGCAGTATTGACACTACAAGTACCACCTTCTTGTACCAGGATGGCCTGCAGTACTGACACTACAAGTACCACCTTCTTGTACCAGGATGACCTGCAGTATTGACACTACAAGTGCCACCTTCTTGTACCAGGATGACCTGCAGTATTGACACTTCAAGTACCACCTTTTTGTACCAGGATAACCTGCAGTATTGACACTACAAATACCACCTTCTTGTACCAGAATGACCTCCAGTATTGACACTACAAGTACCACCTTGTACCAGGATGACCTGCAGTACTGACACTACAAGTACCACTTTCTTGTTCCAAGATGACCTTCAGTATTGACACTACAAGTGCCACCTTCTTGTACCACGATGACCTGCAGTTTTGACACTACAAATGCCACCTTCTTGTACCAGGATGACCTGCAGTATTGACACTGCAAATGCCAGCCTCTGGTATCAAGATGACCTGCAAAATAAAATTGAAAATTTATGACCTTTTATTATAATCATTAGAATTAATTATAATTAATATCATTATTATTAAACACACCAGCCATCTCTAACAGAGGTAAAGTGACTCAATAAAGAAGAAACACTTTCTCCATCACTGTCTTACAAGAGGAAGGCTGTTGTTACACTTCGGATGTCCATCCAAACTGTAAATATTCCCACTTATCCTTCAGAGTGCAAACACTGTACTTCACACCACCACTGATCCTTCAGAGTGCAATCACTGTACTTCACACCACCACTGATCCTTCAGAGTGCAGTCACTGTTCTTCCTACCTCCACTCCCTCTTCTGAGTGCAGTCACTGTACAACCTACATCTATCCCTACTTTTGTTTCAAATGTTCTGAAACAAAACTGGGAAATAGTGTGAATGGGCAGGTCCTGAATGGTGGAACATGCAGAAGAGTTTAAAAGTTCATTGTCCTGGCCACCAGAAAAACTCAAAACACAAAAGACTAAGTCTTCATGCTTGCCTATGATTGCTGAGGAGCTGAAACAGTCAGTGTTGAATGTTACTGTCTTTATGATTGCTGAGGCGCTGAAACAGTCAGTGTTGAATGTTACTATGTCTTTATGATTGCTGAGGAGCTGAAACAATCAGTGTTGAATGAAATAATACCTATGATTGCTGAGGTGTCACAGTATTAAAGGCAACAATGTCATTATGATAGCTGAGGAGGTGAAACAGCTAGTAATGCATGCAGTGAATTAAATCTCATAGGAACTTTGACTGCATTTGTAGTTTTGAGAGCAAGAAAGAAAAAAGTTGGCTTAGAATTTAGAGAAGCATTGTGATACTGCATCAACTGCAAATAACTCTGCCATGAAAATAACAGCCAAATCTTTCAAGTGTTTGTCTAACACTTTATTCAGAAAAACAACTGCATATCACACACCAACAGAGGATTCAGAACAACCAGTGAATACAGCAGTACTGTGTAAGTGTAACTGATAATGAACAAGGGAAAGGAAGAACATGGCAATAACAGAGATATGACAGTCAGATAAGTGAGAACATACTTGGATAAGAGTAAAGAGGTTTCTGGGGCATTTATGGATTTGGAAAAGGCATATGACACAGTGGATAGGGAAGGGGCAATGTGCCAGATGTTGTAAATGTATGGAATAGGAGGTAGGTTACTGAAAGCAGTGAAAAGTTTTTAGGAGGATAGTGAGGCTCAGGAGAGGGTATTTAGGAGAGAGGGAGATTACTTCCCAGTAAATGTAGGCCTTAGACAAGGATGTGTGATGTCATCATGGTTGTAAGAGAAGTGAATGCTTGGGTGTTGGCAAGAGGTGTGGGGTTAAAAGATAAAGAATCTAACACAAAGTGGGAGCTATCACAGTTGCTCTTTGCTGATGACACTGCTTTTTTGGGAGATTCTGAAAAGAAGTTGTGGGGTTTGGTGGATGAGTGTGGTGGGTTTTGTAAAACAAAAAAATAAAAAGTGAATATGGAAAAGAGTAAGGAGATAAATTTAAAACCCAAAAAAAAAATTGGGTATTATAAGTTTGGTTTGTCAGATTGGAGGGAATGGAAAGGTGGAATGTTTCCAATTTTTAAAAATGGGATGTGTCAACAGATGGGTCTATGAAAAATGAGTGGTGCACTGATGGGAAAAAAAAAAATTTGGTGTATTGAGGACCCCTTTGGGAGCAAAAAAATTCATCCAGGGAGGAAACAAAAGGGGAATTGTATGAATATAGTTATCCCAAAGCTAGACAAGAATAGCCAGTTTACGACCTTGCAGCCAAACCAGCCAGCCACCCAGCCGGGCCCAGCCCTGCCGAATACAAAAGAACAAAATAAAGAAGGAACACTGAAACAGGCCACTGGCCCAGGGCAAGGCAAGCCCCTCCCACCCCCCCCCCGGCCCAAAATAAATTTGGGACCCACCTAGTCAGGTCACCTTCCTGACGGGTCGGGTTTTAAACCCACACACCCAAAACCAAAACCCACTCATGTATTTATTTTAACCTATTTTATTTCGTCTTAAAATGGGTGTTTTTAATTTTACTACATCGGGAATCCCTGGGGTTTGCCACACTTTTTTAGCTCTAGTTTGGTGCTAAACCTAACGTCCCTCTCACAAGGTCAAAATGGTCCCCAAAAATTTTTTCAAACACTGCACACTAAAGGAGCAGAACCTTTCCCTTTCATGTTGGGTGGGGGGCCTCCTCCAAACAAAACAAAGAATTAATTGAACCTGCCGGCCTGCATCCCCCAGGGGTCCCGTCAAAAACCCCCCAAAGGGGGAACTGCGGACGGCCTTAGAGGCAGTTTTTCCCCAAAAACCCCCTTACGGTAACATCTACTGGCAGTAGAGAGTATTCACCGACCTTTCTTTTTGGGTTATCTATTTGGGCCTTAGAAGATTTTGTGTCTACAAAAAAAAGTTTACTGAGTCTGACGCCTCATTCACCCCCCACGGCCTCATTCAGTGAAACCTCAAAACAAAAGGGGGGTTCGGGCACAAACCTTCACTGTGAGTAAAAACCCATACAAAAAGTGAGATTAGAACAGCTTAAACAGCTTGACTTTGCGGGTAACGTCTCCAGCTGAAAACGAAATTTTTCCTGCTGGGAACGTGGACTTTATTTTTTCCTGTTAAACTACAAACTGGACATTTTCCCTAAAGGCAATGGCGGATTTAGTCGGCTGGCCCCATGACGGTTTTTATTGCCCAAAACGCTGCAGGGTTAAAGTGGACACGGGGGTTGTTATAAAACGCGGAAAAAAGGGGGTGTCATGCAGACATTTGAAGCGAAAGTGTGTAGCCCTTAAAAAGGAGAAAAGGGGGCCCAATGGGCCCATGGAAAAAAGGTGTGTATAATTCCCGGGATAAAAGGGGGGGGGGGGGGGGGGTCATGGGGAAAACAGTTGAAAAGGTGTTTTTAAAAACGCGAGAAAGGTGTCATGGAAAACTTTTAAACAATGGGTCGTGTTTTCAAAAATTGACTTTGGGTGTTTGTAAAAATTTGTAGAAAAATTTATGTTCAGTTGTGCCCACAGGTAAATTTTTGTGTAATGCGATGCCCAGTAAGGGATAGTTCGTGTTTGTGTTTTGGTCTTTGAAATGTGAAAATTCTAGTCTTTTTATCTGTTTATTTTTAATTTTAAAAGAAACCAAAGAAAAAACATTTTTAATTTTTGTTTTTTAAATAATGCCTTATTTTTATAATTTCCCCAGTAAAGTTTAAAAATAAAATGTATTTTTGAAACTCCCAAAAAAATTTTTCTTATTACATTTTTTGGATATGAGCTAAAAAAAATAGGTTTTAAAACAGGCTTTTTTAAAAATTTTTAACCCCATCCGACCTAATACTGTCTGGGGCAACCCCAGGCCTATCGCCCCAAAATTTTTAAGGAAAAAAAAAAATAAAACATTGAGGGTTCCCGAACTTTTAAACGTGCATGAAAATCTCCCGTGTGGACAGTTTAAAAAAAGCAAAAAACACTTAAAATTTTTGGGAGTTTCCGCCCAAAATGGAGAGATGGGGGTCCCTTACGGAGCCAGGGAGCTGAAACAAACCAGGTGGGGGAAAACGGTAAACCATATTAGAAAGTCAGGTGGGGGGAACTGTATAGCGAATTTTGGCCCCAAAATTTTTAAAAATGCTATAGTTTTAAAGGGGAAAACGCCATAAACCCTAAACGCCCGAAAGAGCGGGCCCAAACCCTGTATTTTAAATTTTATTTATCTTTAAAAATTTTGTGCTTTATATTTTTTTTTCTCATTTTTCTCATATGTAAAACTTTAGTTCATCTTAAAAAAATGAAATTTTTTTGGGAAAATTTTTTCCGGGGTGCCCGGAAAGGGTTTAAATTTGGGTTTTTACTTTTAATTATTAGGGGAAAATTTTAACTAGTTTTTTTTTTTGGGCCTTTTCCTTTTTAAGGCTGCCCTTTTCTGGAACAGTTTAAACGCCCAAATTTAAGCTGGGATTTCCCCAATGTATATACGTTCGCTTTACAGTGACCCCCGGAAATTCAATGGCATCTTTAATTCGATGCATTTTTCCCAAAAAAAAATTTCCCGGTATTCGTTTTGAAAACCCGGTTTTTCCCCAATATGTTTTCGTACGAGCCCGGGGTCCACGTGGGGCCCCTAAAACGGCCCCATGTGTCCCCAGTTTTTAACAAGCCACCTGTGTGCCCCGACCCTAAGGATACAATTTGGGTACTTTCCATATTCCCCCACTTTAAACCCAATTGGGGTTTTTGGTGCTTTTTCGCAAAAAAAAGTCATTTAGGGGCCCAAAGAAAGCTTCTAGTCCCCCCCCTTTCCCAAAAAAAAAAGGCCCCGCTAATGACTTATGAAAAAAAAAGAGATAATTGCAAAGTACAAAAAGTGAAGTGCGGTGTCGGGCGGGTTAAAGGTTGAAAAAAAAAAACCCCCAATCAACCATCTCTACATAGGACCAGGAAAACGGAAATCAGGAAGCTGTTCTTGAAAAAGGTGCAATTTGTATTTGAAACAGCGACCCCCCAAAGGGGTTGGGAAAAATGTTGAAGGTTGTTTTTTTGGTGTGAAAAACGAAATTTATGGTAAAGTGAGTTTTTTAAAGGGCCCCAGCAAAGGTTGGTTTGAAAGATGAAAGAATCGTATGGAAATACATAGTGTGATTAGGCATGGTGAGGCTGCCAGTTGGGACCAAAAACGCAGCTAAAAAAATATGTGAAGGAATTAAAGGATTACATAAAGGGATACATTCAAGGGTTTCAGTGAAGGCTGAAACCTGAACAAGTGTTTAAAATTTCGCCAAAAAAAGGCCCCGTTTTGGGGAAAAAAATGCCAGCAGGACCTACCATTTCTCAGGAGGAAAAGGGACTCCCAAGAAAAAAGGGTATGAAAGACAGGCTTACTGTTCTCATGGGTGCCAATGCTAGTGGTGGGTTGCAAAGTGAAAACCTTTTATTGGGGTATCACTTTTGAAAATCCCAAGTGTTCCCG